TCGAAGAATTCTTCAAACGGCATCTCAAGTAGCTGGCGCTTGGTTTCGGTAGAAGCAGTGCTGTAGTACACATTGTTGACAAAGCTTTGTTTTGTGTCGGCGCGGGCTTGAAGGTAGAATTCGCCGGTGTCGGTGAGTCGAGTATACGAGGCGCTATGTGCGGCCATACCCATAGGCTGCAGGATGTGCTTATAGACACCTGCGAAGTCTTTGACACGCGGTCTGAGCAGGGCTGTCAGCCAGGGTAGAGGGGCGGGATGCATGCCGTCGCGTGTAATTGGGGGTGGAGCATATGTCGTCATTATCGATCGTGGGACCGTCGAGTGATGATTCAGTGGAATTCGGGTAGAGTATGTGGTAAGAGTGAGTTTAGTACCAAGGCCTCTGGGAGAAATGGAATGTAGTGGTACAGTTAAGCAAGAGCACTGTGTGAAGTAAGTCATGAGCCTTCAATGGTTGTGTAGTGAACAGACGGTCATTTCAGCTTTCAGTAGGGGAACTGCACCTTTTGTTGGTGAGCAAGAATGAATTGGCAAGATGCATTAAAATCGTTGCAACCATTGCTACATAACGAGGAATTCACTCGTTTTACTCTCAATCGCACTACCAGACTTCTCGCACGCCTTTTCGCAACTCTAGTATCGCTGAACATGAACGATGTCAGAAGTCGAGCTAACCGCTAGTCATGTAACTATCGGGATGCCATGGTTTAGATCTCCACTAAAAGAATATGGCTTCAAGTGATGTTCCAGTAGAAGGAAAACATGATTGAATTCTCGTGTCGGAACAAAGAGGTAAAGGTTGTTCGTGTTATTCGTCCTTTAGTGTGGTGAGTAGAATGGGTGGTTCGCGCAACATCAACCACTTCACCAAAGGGAAGACATTAGTCCAATTAAACAAGCAAAGCCTATCCTATCTACCCTTCGTCTAATTCAGCGTCTCTTACTACCCATCGCAAAGCCAAGTTAATCGCCTAGTAGCAAAATCTCAAAAAAATCCAAAGTCCCCCAAACACTCAAATCTCAATTTCTGCCGCAACAACGACCAAGAAAAGAGCAAAAAAGATGTGTTGTGACCTAACCAGGGGTCGCTTTTTTGGGCGTCAGCGGTGCTATTTCGAATGGGCGACTCTTGCGAGTAGTGTGGAGTGAATACTTACAACCTGGAATCTCTTGATATCGAACTGAGTCGTAGTCAAGCGCCTTGCCATTGGGCCATTAGGCCAGTTGTACTGATTGATGGAGATGTGAGAAAAAGCATTGTACTAGTACTTGGTTTCAGTGTTGTCGCCGTAGGCCAGTATTCCAAAGATTCATTTGCTTGCTGGGGTGGGTGGTTGCAGTGTAGCGTGAAAGAGTTTGCGCTTGTGGTGGGGTTTCGGAAGGCTTCGGCGGGGTGGGGCACGGCAAACCTGCAAACCTGCAATACAGGTGAACACGAATTTGACGCGACACAAGGCAAATGTATGCATTGTTTTTGCATTCATGATATCGCATCTAATCTATAGATCCACATCCATGAGGCTGCTCACAGATGAACCCTTAAGCCCTCGCTGCGGGCTGTGTGAGCGTGCTTCCACCGTCAGGGTACAGCACCTGCTCGTTGAAAAAGACACCACCTGGGCCAGCCAGCAATAGAACAGTCGCAGCCATGTCGGTATCAGCGCCAGGACGACCAGCCGGGTTGCTCATGCCGGACTCGATACGGCTCTTGTTATCTTCGTCGGAAGTGCCAGTGGTCATCTACATCGAGTTAGCTGACTTTTCTCAATATGCTTTTCGGATCTCGTAGTTACATACCTCGCTAGGGAAAACACCAGGCGCGATGGTGTTGACGCGGACCTTGGTGCCCGCAAACGTTGTAGCCAACATGCGGCTCAAGTGCGTAGCAGCCGCCTTACTCGACGCGTAAGAGAACTGGCCGCTGCTGCTTCCCTTCATGTAGCCCGAGATACTGCTCACGTTGATGACTTGCGAGCTGTATCCGGGAGTGACCTTGCCACCCTTGGCCAAGAGAGGCAGGAAGTACATTGACATCCAGAAGATGCTTCCGACGTTGGTCTTCATGGTGTCGGCCCAATTCTCGGGCTGCGACTTGAGGAAGTGGTCGGAGATGGCTTGTGCGTCTTCCATGTTTGGCTGGCCGTTTGCGGAGAACTTGGTGTTGTCGTCGCGGGCGATACCGGCGTTGTTGACGAGAATTTGAATACCCTTTGGCTCTTTTTGGCACATCTCTTCGTAGAGACGCTTTACGTCGTCCTTCTCGCTGGGTAGTGTTAGTATCGAAACTCACCATGTTGATAAATCGTGTGCTTACCTGACATCTGCTTGGATAGGGATGATCTGGCCTGGACCACCACCGCTGTACAGCTCCTCCGTCTTCTTCAGTACCTCATCACGTCTTGATGTGATGTATACTTTCGCGCCGTTTGCGACTAGTGCTTGTGTAATCATCAAACCGATACCTGTTCCTCCACCAGTAACGAGAGCGGTGACATGAGAAACATCAAAGAGCTTGGAACCCTTGAGCTCATCGGTGCTAGCCTTGCCGCCACTCATGTTTCTAACGATTTGGTATGTAGTTCTTGGGAGAAATTGATTTGTTCGTACTGTTGATGTGATAGATTTGGTAGCTGTGGGAAGGTTTCTTGAGAAGAGTCGGAGCATGTTGAGATATGCTTGTAGTGGTTGCGACCTTTATGTGATTTAAAGGTGGAGGAACGATGTCACAGTCGGATGCGAACATGATGACGTTGAGACGACGCATGAGGACTTGTAGAGGGGGTCCAATGCATTAGGCACTGGCGCGACGCGTCGATGCATGCTATGAGCGCATACAATCATGGAATTCTGCATTCCCCATAGTAGAAGCGCACGCCACCAACAAGTAGCATGCTTTGGCATCGGTTTATGCTGGTGAAGACGGCAATCACGGCTAGAAGCGAGTTGAGGACCGATGCCGCTAGACATGCAACAATTAGACATGGGCCTGGATGCGCAAAGATGTATCAGATGCATGTAGTGCAGTGTCGTCCTGTCTACATAAGCACAGTGCTTCCAAGCTGTCTCAGTCGCATCGTCAGTGGTCACGAACGCTTCGGTTCGTCGCTTGTGATGGCTCCGCGGATGCAGTGATCCGGTATCTTCGACGTATGGTCATGTTTGGACAGCTAATAAAGAACAGACGCCAATGCGATATTGGCATCGTGAGTACCATGGAGAGCTGAACTCGCGAAGTGTGATGGTGTTGAGCGGCCGCAGGGGTGACGCGACGCCTCAGCACCAGGTATGACGCAATCAATCTTCCGAGTTATCTCCGTACCATCTCCGGGCAGTCGCTCATCCCTTAATGAACGCTGGCTTAGAAACCGCGCAGTTGTTACAAACCACCACGAACTACTGGCACAGCGAGCACGCATTGTCGAATAGCTACCCCTAGCACGTAATCCGCACACTTTGTCAGCATGTCTACGATCATTGGATGCTGAACATTAGTAACACAGCTTGGCCTCGGGAATAGAGCTATGGCATCATCGCCACAGAGATGCCGAATGAGGGGAAGCCCCGGCGGATGAAGGGCGACTTGACGTCGCAACGGTAGGAAGCATTTCTAATCGCGTAGACTTATATAACAGCATCGAAGCTGTCCTTGATCTCAACTCATATCCAAACAACTTACCATACAGCCACTGACACAGCAACCACCATCACCACTCTCGATCAATCCTTCGCAAACCTTCGATTATACAATCTTAAATTCCATTGCGAGCACCTCTAGCATACCAGTCACCAGAATGACGACCACCGCCTCTCTTCCGACACCCGCGCATCAACTCTCCAACCCTGCGCCTACCACCAACTCTCCAACCTCTTCCGACGTCAACTACCAAGGCCTGCCAATCCCTCGCGGCCCCGTCACAGCATCGCTATCCTTCTACAAAGCCCCCGAAGACGGCTCACCACCACACAACTACGTCGAGCCACTCCCAGGCGTACCACAACGGAATTGGGGCGACGACTGGACCAAAGTCGAACTCAACGACTTACGAGGTCAGGAGCAAAACTTCACACTCGACAACAATGCCTTCGACACATATCAGAACATCAAGAGTGGACTGGACAGAGATGGCTTCTCCGACGATGACGCTGTAAAACGCGTGTACTACCCAGAAGTCGAGCAACTGCTCATGAAGAACGTACAAGGCGCGCAAAGAGTCCTTCTCTTCGACCACACAATCCGCCGACCGACAGGAAACCGCAACCCCGTTCAACGCGTACACATCGATCAAACACCTTTCTCGGCCGCCGAACGAGTCAAGTTCCATCTTCCCAACGAAGCCGAACAACTGCTAAAAGGACGATACCGCATTATAAACGTATGGCGTCCGCTCAATGGGCCTGTCATGGGTAGTCCGCTCGCGGTAGCGGACAGCCAGACAGTGCGCGACGGCGATTTGATACCCATTGAGCATCGTTACCCCGATCGAAATGGACAAACGGCGGCTGTGGCATATAACCCAGGGCAGAAGTGGTACTATTGGTCTGGCATGACGAATGAGGATCGTCTGCTGCTGAAGTGCTTTGATAGCGACGAGAATGTGGGTCAGTGGGGGCGTGTACCGCACACGGCTTTTGTGGATCCAAGGACACCAGAAGGCGCGGTTGGTAGGAAAAGTATTGAGGTCAGGGCGTTGGTCTTTGGCTGATCGATGCTTCCCTACAACCTTGACCGGACCTCTCCTTCATTATGCCACGTCTTCATTCCACTTGCGTTGTATCAGCGTTTTGTAGCAGTAATTCAGTTTCGTTCTTCGTAGTTCATATGCATTCATGTATTGGCTAAACCTTCATCATCTCTATCAATAGAACGTTTTCCGTGTATCCATGAAGAGGCAGTGTAGATTCATTACTTGAGGTGCAACACGTCTCGCCTTGCAGACAAGACTATCGAGCTGTCTGCACTAAGCCCACATCGATGCTCAATTCCAATATCATCGTTGCTTACCGAGACTTCTCAACCTCGACCTCCCCAATATCCTGTCCAATTACCTTAATCTCGTGCTTCTCGGCGTTGTCCTTCTCGACCTCCTTTAACTTCTCGGTGAGCTTCTCGTTCAACTTCTCGAGCGCAACGTTGTACGACCATCCGTGTCCTCCAATGCTCCTGTCTCTGACTTTGCGGTCCGGAAATACGGGGAAGAGAGTCGCTCCTCGCGAACCAATCTGCCCAGGCTCGCTCTTGAAATCCACGTCCTTTTCCGTGAACCCGTTCTCGATGCCGAGAGATCGGCTGAGTTGGACGAACTTTACTACTCCAGTGTTAGCACATGTATGCGAGTGTCTGCAAATCCCTGATATTATCCAGGTACGACAGAGGGCATGAACACTCACTTTTGACTTCAGTTTGAAGAGTCACATGTGCTTTCTCTCGGCCCGAACCATCGTACTCTTCGTCCTCGCTTGATTCGCTATCAATATTGCTGTCGTCTTCGCAGTATCTTTCACGTTCTTCCGTGCTCGGTCTTTCCGCTTCTCTGTGCTCGTCGCATCTTGAGGACGCGCAGCTCTGGTTCATATGCGGCCTCGAGCAGCTGTTTGACATCGCGAATGATGAAGATCAGCAAAACGTTTTAGGCGGCAATAGAGAGTGGTATTGATGAAATTGACGCAATGAGGAAGTTGTCGAATTTATAGCCAACTGTGAGTCTTCACTGCCAGTCAACATCCTGCCGGCGAAGTCATACGTGAGTCAATCTTGCGAAATATGACCTTTTTATGAATGCACGGAGACGTGTGAGTGGAATGACGCAGTACATAGTGAGAGTTTTGAGATTACTGCGGGCTTCTCGTGCTGAATAGTGGTGTACACATTCCCATCCTCAAGCTATTACTACCAAAGGTCGTCTTACGAATGGAGTATCCCGATTCCTTCCTGATAAAAGTAAACAATCTGTATTTAGTCTATTCCAGTCTCTAATCTCCGTCCTTCTAAATGTGTCACACCCATGCCATCCTGTCCATACCTAGAGATACGTTAGAATAGGCCGACTGAGTAACCGCTCCGTCTTACTATAATTTCCGAGACCTTTTCCATTCGTCGATATCTTTTTCGAGTTCCTTCACGGCTTCCATGCTAAGGCTGCATCGAAAGCCTCCTTGCCGTAGGTTAGTCCTCCTGGACGGCCAAAAGTCCGGCCGGATCAGGCCAAGCGTAGGTAACGTATTCGTTCCTTCCGACCTCTTCGAACCGCACGACGACTCGTTTCTTGCGGAAACGACTAATCTCAGCACCATTTTTCACTAGCAGCACTTGTATTAGTACTCTTGGTTCCTAAGCCTATTCCTCGCGTCTGATACTTACTCATCTTCTTCAAGTCCGTTTTCACCAGCACCCTACGCGTATCCTCTGCAGAGTGCGGTGGCAGATCTTTCGGTTCGGGGGCGTGGGAATCTTCCGCTTCGAGGGTGTGGGAATCTTTCGCTTCGGAGGAATGGGAATCTTTCGCCTTGGGAACGTAGGAGTCTACGAAAGATTGGAGCTCCAAGAGTTTAACTTCGAAGCGAATGGGTTCCTTTGGTTTGGGAGTCTCGTTCTTCTTATGCAGGAAGCGTAGGATTCCGGAGAAATATTCAATGGCTTTGGTGCTAAGCTTTCAGGGAATCCGTGAAATAACCTTTTCGCGGTAGTAGTTGATGGTGCTCAAGTATTTTCATCGAAACGAAAACCGTCCCTTGGAGTCACTATGACTCCGCCCACAGTCATCACTCGCTAGAAACAGAGTCAAACCAATCATATGTAGTTACATTAAGATGAGTGGTCACGGCCATCCATAGTGGTCCTTACAGTTCAAAGAACGACCTGAAAGACCGCAGAGAAACCCAAACGAAAGCCCTTTATACAGCTCTTGCAGGACCTAGGGCATCAAAAAATTGCCTGTTTACATGGCAGACCCTTCGGTCGCGCTTAAAGTCCACGTCCTTCCTTAATTTCTGAATCGGATAGACTATGCCGTCTTTGCAGTTTTCCGTCACCGTGAATTCCAAACGAACGGCACTCTTGATATCCGCCCATTCTCCCGTCCAGTCTCGTTCTTCTGCAGTCGTGCTATCAGTGGCTATCAGTGAAACCAATGAATGAACTGGTGTCTTTATATTACCTAGCCATTGTAGTAGATCCCTGAGCGCCTTCACCTGTTTGCGAAACCGAAGGCTGGCATAGTAGCCTCGCATGGCGCTCATTAGTCCTCCTCGTGGTTCGGGTACCAGTATATCTTCTATCTCGGTGAGGCGATATCTGTCAATAAATGTAGGTATCGAGGTTGACTGCTTGCAATTGTGGTCGGAGTAGTCTGCTGTTTGTTGGATAGGCTCTCCACGGCGCATAGTAAGAGAAACGTATCCAGCAGCGGCAGCTTGCTGTCTGGACGAAGGTTTCAGGGCTTGGAAAAGCATGGTGGTGTGCAATCTTTGCTTGAAGGTAACTCGTGGCGTATAGTCAGTATGGTGGTTGGTAGAAGTATGCCCTTCTCCAAACTATGAAGATTTCGGTACGAGAAATGACTCAGCTTCGAGTCATTCTGAGCTGGCGTCAGACTCATATGCTGGATAGAATCAACACGGGCTTATGTAGGCACAGGTAGGTGGGCCGCAATGTTGACTTGTTGTTACACCAAAAGGTGACTTGCTATGACTCCCAACTACAGTGATTCTCAGCCTGCAGGTGTTCAACATATGGACTGACTGCTAGCTGATCACTAGCGCCCCTTGAGAAACTCCATACATGAAACGTCCACTCGACATTTCTGTATTTCTGCCATCCAAAGCTCCTTCCTACCCTCAATCCTAGCGTAATGACGCACCATTGCATCCTCAACGTCATTCGTCACACTAAATCTCAGCTCAACAGGTCGCCCCGTGGTTCGCCATGTTGGCCAATCGTCGTACACTTGTTTCGTCAGTGACTTTCGGTCATATCGCTTATGGATTGGGCCAACAACATACATGTCTCTCCCAGCGATTTTGCTAGCTCCTTCAGTTGTTTGCGCAATTGAGAGGTGGTGTCACGGCGTCGTAGAGTGCTTAGAATCCCAGTTTTTGGATCGAGTTTACTCTTGATGTCCGCGAGTTCGAATATGAACTCTGTAGGGGGTTCGGTTGCTGCTTGCTGCTCAGTCTTGTTTTCAAAGCAGTCTTTCGTCTTCGAGGCCTGATCTTTGTCCCCTCTAGGCATCGTAGAATGAGTATGTTCAAAAGCGGTAGCTTGATGGAATGAAGAGCTTCTAAATTTCTGTAAACAATGTGGTGATGAAGCGTGTGAGCAAAGAGATGGGTCTTTTTATGCGAGCAGTGACTCAAAATATAGAGTCATGATGTTGACTTAACACTACAAACATGAGCAACGCGAAACTGCATGATAGTTTCCGAGTGTCATGTCTGCAAATCTGGATGTGTGAAATATGCATCGCACAAGAAGGTAGTGAACCGTAAATATAGTGTAACACCTTGACTTGACGGGGTGCATAGAACTTCAGGTAAGGACACGATGAGATTGTCAGTATTATCGAACGATGCCTGGGCTTTTCCGGGTATATCGGGTCATGAAGAAGTGTCATTGCTGGCGCGCTAGAGTAAAGGCCTTGCGTAAGAGTACAGAGTCTTTACCCGGGTCCTTAAGGAGTGTAGTGTGTAGCACTAGTAGAAGAGAAACAGAGAACTCGGAATGTGTTGAGACATATCCGGACATTCTTACACTGACTGTTGAATTCATGCATAATTCATTGAAGCGTCGTACTTCAGTAGTCGTCACCCCGAGAGACAATCTCTTTGCAGTTGGGCCTTAGCAATACTGTCTGTGAACTCACTCGTCAGTCATGGCCAAATGTTTCTATGATGGGTTACTCACATGCTCAAACTGCGCGATGAACGAACCAGGAATATCCACCAGCGGCGCATATGCTTGAACGATACCACTGTTGACCAGCGTTCGCATACCGAGGTGGTATTTCTCCACACCCGGCAGACGTTTAAGCTGACGGCGAGCAAAGACCAGAGTCCCGAAGTTCTCATCGATGGTCTTCAATAGTGACTTCGCAGATGAATGATGGAGGTTGGCAGCGCTGATGCCCTCGTTGCGTCCGTAGCCGTATACGCCAATATCGTCATGAAGATATGCTTTGCCGGTGCTACCGAAGGTTTCAATCGCGAAGATGTCGCCTTCTTCCATACGTTGGGATGTCTTCGTCTTGACGAAAGGAACTTGTTTGTCGCCATGGATGCGGTAACGCAGAATGTTATGGCCGGTGATGTTGCGTACCGCCTTCACGGGAATGGTCTTCCCTTTGAGCTCGACTTCGTAACTTTCCATGACCTCTTGAATCATCTCACTAATGTGATCGATTCTTGCGTCGATGCCTGCTTCTTTCAAGCCTGTATTGGTAGCCGCCTTGACAGAAGCCAGTAGGTTGTCATAGATCGGATTGGCAGCCACAGTGAAAGCGCTATCCACGATCCTGCCGTTGGCATGCACGCCGAAATCGACCTTGAGGACGTCGTCGTTTTGAAGGAAGACTTCCTTCGCTCCCGCATTAGGAGTCCAATGTGCGCCGATGTTGTTCAAGCATAAGCCTGTTGGAAAGGCGAGGCCAGCCTTGAGACCATCTCCAGTCTCAAGACCCTGGTGGCCCACGAGCGTACGAACACTGTCGTCAATTTCTTCGGCGATGCGGGTGAGAGACGCGCCGGGCTTCGCGATAGTCTGTATGTACTGGCGCACTTGACGATGGACTTCAGCAGCCTTGCGATAGTCCTCCAGGAAGTCTTCATCCATGTTATCCACAGCCGCCAGATGACGAAGCTCTCCAGCCGTGGTACGCTGAAGGTTCTCATCCTTGATGGCATACTCCACAGTCTGACCTTGCGGGTATTTTCGGCTCTGGTACAGATCCGCTAGCGGCACCCTTGGAGGCGCTGTCTGCTGTGTCGGTGACACTTTCTTGCTCTTCTTCTTGTTGCGCTTTCTTTTCTTCTTCGCGCCTTCCCATTGTCAGCTCCAGATCGAAGTCACGTGATCCCAGCTCACCATCGTTGTTCTTCACGTCAGCTCCAAGCTTCGCGATGTCATCGTCGTCGTCTCCGTCTTCATCCTGCCCTTCGAGTACGCCTGGAAGCAGCCCGCTAGCGGCTGCTGGCTTGGGAGGGTTGATGATAGCGATTGCAGCGTCCGCCGACGACCCTGTCAGCTGTCAGCATATGTTTTCTCGGAATCGCTTCGATGGCGCTCACCGTCTGGGCCTTGGCGATGATCTTCTGGAGACTTTGACCCCATGACTGCTTCGAACCGATTGTCATCAAGCTTCCGAGCTACTGTTGGTGTTGGTGTTGGAGTTGGTGGTCAATGAAGCGGCGCGGAGCTACCTGAGTGACGCGGCGGGGCCTGGGCGGGGCGCGCAACAACGGTGTACCTTTTGCACTATCCCGTCCTGCCACCAACACGACGTCGCACAAGGCCAACATCAACTCCTCGCCTCAATCAGAACTACGAGCGAGACCGGAACTCAGCCTCGGACTGCCAAAATTGTTCATTCCAGAATTAGACACTGTAAGAGGCGCATCGAACCCGGACAGGCCCCTCTCGTCGTGCAGTGGTACTTCGCACACCAGCAGAGTACAACTTCTGTAAAAAGCACGACAATCACGCAAGAGTATGAGGCGATTACCGTTGTCATCGTTGATCTAGACATGTCAAATGCTTCGCAAATGCGATGAACGGTTGGAGACCATCCGCGCATCCTATATGACCTGGAGAACACCGCCAACTGGCACTGCAGTGCCATCTGATGCTGTCTTCAAACCTCGCTAGATACGCAGTAGCCCCACTCGATCATCCCTTCTGGTGGTACAGACTTTCAAGACTGAATACCCGATCCTACTTGAAGATCACCTGGGCAATGATACCCCGGTGGTGGACCTCGAAGTTGCCGAACCTCCAACAACAGCTTGTTTAATGCTTCTGGGATTGTATCGCCTACTGCTGCTTCACTAAGTGGCTGCCCACCAGCTGAAGACACAACACGCGCTCGATATCTCTGGGTTCCCCTAAAGCGGTGCACGTATTCCCGTTCGACGAGCACCTTGAAGGCATTGAGGGAGTTCCCCGGCGAATTTTGGTCCCAGGCATCTACGTTGCGATACAGGCTTTAGTCGGTAGAGTTCAGGTAACGGCAGTAACGGGCGTAATTACCGATGATGTCTTGCTTCGTGCGCTCATGCTCAGGACCCAAAGCATCGATGGATTTCCATTTGTGGAAACTTGTCTCGGTTCTTCCACTCCCAGCAAACATAGTGCAGATGCACTGCCACATTGGAAAACAGTACGAGTTGGTGTAAGTGGTAAGAGATGCAAATTCCCAGCAAGGCCTTCTAAAGAACGAGCGGAGATAGGTATATTCGCAGCCATACACTTTATACCCAGTGTGAGTCACAGTCGAAGACGAAGTATGCCATCACCAGGGTCATTCCGATGCTTTCATGAACAGTCGCTAAAGCACAGTCAAGAAACTGGTCACGGAGTTACTAGTGATTAGGTGGTCTCTACATCCCCGGCGACCTCACACAGCTATGGCACTTGTTACACCAACGGGCATGGCCAAAGTCTGGGGAACGATCGTTACGTGCACCTCGACGAAGCGGAAGTTGCGCCGTGCATGCAAACACGGCCCAGCACCGAAGGTGTACTCTGGGGAATGGATGTTCCGAGACTTACAGCGGCAGAGTAGCTGTAGAAGGCGGAAACACACTAGATATGCGTTGTAACTTGGACAACTCGTTAGTGAAAGCAGAGTTGCTTTCGAGATGGCAATAAGAGAGACTGGGCATCGAGGCATGAAGATCTGTGAGCATAAAGGTGACATTCTTCATACTCCTGGAGGCTGTCGCGGCAGTTTTATTCAATGTTGATACCGTAAGCAGCGTATACTTTCAAGACGTCTGGTTTTGAGAAGAACGTGATAGGAACGGACTCCCAACGAGAAATTGCCGAGGATGACTGTTCAGGTGTCGCCAAGACGTCGCACTTGTCGTACGAGAACGCCACCAAAACGAATTCTGACTTGTGCAACCACCCCTCTGCATCGCGCAACCATCACCAACGAGCCGTATTGCTGGCTTTCTCGACCTGGTTCCCGTTCAGAACCCCTGCAGCGTTTATACAGCAAAATCGTTCGTGTTTGGCGCTTCATCATGCTCAGTAAGAGTCGGAGTCACCTTTTCAATAAAGGCAAGGGCAGTGCAAGGTCTTTAATCCTTCAGGCGCCCTGTTTACCCCTGCAGAAAATGAGTCTGCAACGAGCCGCATGGACCCAAAGATAGACGGCTCAATGTCGCTAAACGTCTAGATCTTCCGCGGGATTGGCTGACTCGCTTGGCAAGAACAGCATGATTGGTTGAAAGAGACGGAGCTTGGAAGAGGCGCAAGGCTGCATCAATCGCTTAAGGGGAAACGAGATGTGCCTGCATGCTTTGCACGACCGGTGAGCTAGCCGTGTAGTTGTCTGGGTCGGCGGCGCGGTGCTTGATGGTGCTTAAGATGAGGGCGTGGCCCTGACGGCTGGAGACAGCCCTACAACTTTACTAATATCTAATTTTCGCGTTTCGCGACCCACGATCGTTACTTTCTCAGCGGATAGCAATATGGCTGCCCGATTCGCGCTCGTAGCGATCGCTAATGCCGCCATTGCGAGCGCGCAGTTCTTGGATGATGACTACACTACCACTCGTTATACTTCAGCATACTGGACCTACACCTACGCTCAAGCGGAGGTTGCCACACAAAGCCTGTACACATATTATGACGACACCGTCGCTACCGAGACTTACACTGAGTACCGCACTATCAAGGATGGAGTCACTCCTACGATCGCACCGTACTCGACGTCCACAGCCCTCGGCTACTACGACGATCTTGAGGTCGTATACGCGTATTACACAACTAGTGCGGTGGCCGAATCTGATCTTGTGCCTGAGTATGATTACTACGCGACTTCCCCTTCGGCGACGGCGACGACCACCGAGACAGTCAGGGATATCGAATTCAGCATGCCAGTAACGATGACGGCACCTGCCTCATGCCCCACACCATGTAAGTACTACGTTCTCTCTTCGAATCTCTTCGACACTGACTTTGACTGCCTGTAGTTACCATAACAACATCCGCCTCTGTATACGTCCCAACTCAGGTTACTGCGCAACTTTCACCAGCTTCGATTGAAACATCCTCTGCCACTGCCTACTCCGGCACCCTTTACCTTTGGGAGACATGGTATCTTTCCGAGAGCGCGGCGCCTTTCACGTCAACGTCGGACTACTACTACTCTGTCTATATGGCGGATTGTAGTACACCTCCGGGATCGTACAACACTCACACCTCGTCGTCTGGCGGCTCAAATCGCGGCAGCTCAGACAACGACGACAGTGACAGCGACAGCTCATACGACAGTTGCTACTACTATTACTGTAGATCTCGTGTGATTACATGGATCATCATCATTGCATGCATAATCCCCGGGCTCTTCCTACTTGGATTTCTCGAGTCTTGGTTCTGGTTCCGTCGCCTCATGCTCGGTAAGAGTGCCATGCGTTTTGGTACGGTCTGTTGGATTCTCATGTCGCTCTGGGTACTTTGCTTCACTCGTATGCAAGATCGCCGAAGTGCTGAAGATCAGAAGATGTTGGCTGAGAGATGGAAGAACATGGGTAGCGGAGCGGCTTTTAAGGCTTGGTGGAAGTGGGGATTCCGTCATAGGTACCCTGAGGAGTTGCTGGGTCAGTTCAGCAAGACCACCGTCGGCTTCGTACCGCCCGGCCAGCCGTTGTATCCAGCCATGGCACAAACACCCGGTGCTTCCCAGCCTATGGTCCCTGGTCAAGTTTACTACTACGGCCCCCCGCCTCCGGGCTGGGTCGTGTCACCGAACGGAGGATTCGTTCCACCTCAAGGCTACACGTACCCACCTCCTCAGCAAGCTGGCTACTACGGCGATATGACCAAGGCTGGACCGGTGGTGTCTCAATCTTCCGTTTCGGCAGTGGGCTACCCACAACCGCAGCAGCAGATGGGCAATGTCTCTCCTATGGCACCTCAGGTCCCCCAGGCTGCGCATACTGCTCCTCAGAACGGCTCTCATACCCCTACGCCATATGGCGCCCCACCGAACGTGGGTACAATGCCAGAACAAGCACCGCCTCGAAGCCCTTCACCCGAGGGCCCGTCACCCCCACTTCCACCTCGTCCTGTGGCTAAGGGAGCTCCGCAGATACCACCTGTGAATGTGGGCGATGCAACAACGACAGACGATGCAGCAAAACAAGAGCCCGCCGCACCGGCTACTGCTCCTCCCCCGCCGAAGAACGACCCCAACGACCGGAGCTTGTATGAGTAGGCTTATTAGTCACCTCGATGTAATGAGACTCAATGAGTCAACACAGTAGACCACATCGGTCATGAGGAAGAGATAGTCACAGTTTAGCATAGTTCTCCTTGAGCGTTTCGCGTACAGATACCCTAGCTCGGAGTTTCTCCCTTTAGTCAATCACACAATGACGATAACACATACTATAGTATGGTCATTGCCAAACACGTCTTACTACTTCTCTTCATGTGCTCTCTCTAGTCATGGTAGGTTGTTCGGAGTCATTTCGTCGAGCTTGGCCATGCACAGTCAACCAGCAGGATGATACATCGCGCATATAAGATCACTATCCATTCTAGGCGTAATAATCACCTTCTCTGAATCCTTGATATGGCGCCTCAAGTTCAAGAACATCATACGAACAGCCGCTTCAAGCGTCGTGTACGGAATGTCAGCCCCGTTGTCTCGGAGCGAGGAAAGCGTGGTGCTGGCACGAGCTTGAGTAACGCGTCGAGTGTTTCCGCAGCCTCCGGGGCGGAGACAAGCTCCGAATTTACTCGTATCAACGACGAGGACAACAAGTCTCTGTCCGATTCCCTGACAAAGCGAGAAAGAAGGCTGGAAAGCCTCATAAAAGGTTTGCTGCCTCTGTCAAGTGTTTCCAGTACCCGCTGACGAAACGGAAGATTACTACCGGCGCTGTTTCCGTAAAGAATGCGAGGATCGACCCATCTATATCGAATTTTATACCGATCCACGCGATACATCCCACCCGTCGGTAAAAGCCACGCTTGTACTGGGACCCGGAGACTTCCCAATCCCAAGGGAAAATACGATGAGCGAGAGTTCATACGAGAAGACGAAGGAGGAGGCATTGAGGCAGCTTGGAACGTTGATTCGACAAGACGCGGCTGAGCAGAAGCGCTCCAACATGTGGAGGGAACTATCATGGAGGACGAAGACGTCCGGGATAGGACTGGCTTGTTGGTCCCGGTTTGGAAAAGGATGACTGGCCAGGCCAGACATGGCGAAGGTCTGAACTTATTATGCTGGGTATACGAACGTTGAGACAATCATCACTCTGGGTAACTTATTTCAACTCACTAAATGATGACTATTAGATTACTCATGAATGTCCAAAGACGTTGCCACCATTACATTTCACGTAGTCTGTAAGTCATGTACATACTGAACGGCCCGAAGAGTCATTGCAAGATGTGGCTCACGTTGGATTTGGGTACAACTTGCATCCAATGCCGTAGTACATTGCGATGCGGACGACATCGCATAAACTTACCGCAAATCGAACAACCCACCGACCTGCCGAACATGAACGAGGCATCCACTCCAGCCAAAGCCGCTAAAATCGCAGCAATACTGGCGGTGGAGAACGGTATCAAGCACTCAGCACAACCTTACAAGAGGCCAGAGCTTCACCATACATATATCGACCGGTTTCCCCTTCCCGAGCGATCCGACTTTTGCGATCCGACCGAGAAAAGCCGCAAATTAGACGAGGGTGAAGTAGACACCAAAGTCGCTATCGGAGAACACGATAAACGTGAGGGCTACTTTATACCTGAGAACCTGGGCTTGTCGGAGCGCGAGCTTTGTGCTCGCATCAAAGGTAAAGTCCCGAGTCCCAACCTTTCTTCACTCACACGTGTTGACGAAGTTTTCTACGAACAGAGAAGTTCAGAGCTCTCGATCCGAGCAAAGACAACGGTCTTGATATCTATATCCGTTGGCGGGAAGAATCTGCTCCTGAAGGCAAAGAACAGGAGGTGGTAGCTTTACTTCTCGTAGCAGGCGGTGGGAAGAAGACACCAAAGGAAGAGATGTGGAGCAAGCCTTCTAAGGATGCTTCGAAAGCTTTGAAGAACCTGCAGTTTAGAGTTAACGATAGGGGTAGAAGGGGGGCATCGTCTGCAAATGGAGTGGGCTGTACAAGGATCTGGCAAAGGAAGTTGCTCAGGCTTATCGCTCGAAAGAAGTATTCATGATGTTTTTCGTGACAAGGGCAGGGTGTTCAGTAGTATGATTCGAATTAGGATAAATGGAAGGCATTATACGTACCCCATCACGAGATATGAATTCTTGGTGACTGCATCTCTGTTGCGCCAGCTTGAATTGACGAGGTTGAAGTGCGAAATCGTGCCTAAAGCCATCAGGTATATTTCATATGACGTATCTACGGACGCAGAAACTGTACAAGGAGAAGAAACTGACACATAAAGCAGTCTCTTGGTTGGCGCATGAGCAATGAATGTAGATGACTGTGCAAAAATGTCATCATCAAAAGTTACTCATCTACGTTTCGGCGTCAGCGTGATGACCCAACTGTCCTAGACAGTGACTCTTGTACTGTATAAAGGAACAGGTACCTATTGTAGCACCATCCTTACAGTTCATCACCATCTCTTACACAAGACTGGAATATTCTTCATGCAAATATCCAGGCGATAGTTTCGCAATTCATCACTCTAGTAACAAGCATGCGCGAGTACGACAGCGACAACGACGGTGGTATACCCCTCTACAACGATCAGAAGTCTTGCAAGGGACTCAAACAATCCATATTAAACCTGGAAGAGCTTGTGAACCCCAATCGGTCTGATTACGAACATGTTGGAGAGAAACTTATTCTCATAAACGGTATACCAATCCTATTTTGACTCAGATACGAATGTGCATACTGAGGTAGCAACGCTAACGTAGAAATGTGGTACAGAATTGATAAAGAAGATTGATCCCAAGTACGACGGCAAGCAACCTTATGAAAGAATCTGGATCACTTGCAGAGAATACCCTGACACTGGCGAGGAGATCAAGCCGAGAGGAACGAAGTATGAAATTGCAACCAAGATGGGGAAGAAGTCGAACGGGAACGTTGGCTGGCTCATAGGGGAATTCACGCTACTGGAAGATGCAGTGGAAGAAACACTGCAAGGGGTGGAGCGACAACTGCAGATCAAGAAGGCGGGCAAGCTATGATGTGATAGCCTTGTTGATAAGGTCTGAGTATATGGGCACATATGCGACTTGGATAGCTAGTCAAGATATACAGGACAAGGATTTGGAAGTGCTAGTTGCAAATAATCACACGGTTACAACTACTTTCTATTCTATTGACTAGCGCTGACGATCACATCGGAGTTCGGCTTCGAACCATCCCTGAACACGCGCGCCACCCTCCCCTTCGACAACAAAACCTTATATTCAACCCTTCAACGGTTTCACGTAGCCCTTGCCCAATGCGTACTCCATTTCCTTCAAAGCCTCCTCGGCATCATCACCGTCTCCTCCAAGGACCATCTTCTCCCCTTTGCTGCCAATTTGAATTTTACAATAAGTCATCTCACCCTTTTCGTTGGGAAGTCGGGTAAACCATATGTAGTAGTCCAGATCCTTGTCTTTGTACTCGGGTAAGGCTTCTTTTATCTTGGCTATCATCATGTAAGCTTCTCAGCGCGGGTGGTAGGCTTTCCGAATCACACACGTTTGAGTTTTTCGACAAGCTTGTCATCATCGTCTTTTAGTTTGGCAACTGATCCCGAGCGGTGCTCGGCGAGTGAGTGCGTCTGTGAAGCCATGATGTGGCTTTACCTGTTCGTGTTCGTGCCTGCTCGCTCCAGCAAACAAGACGCGGGTTGAATTTATGCGTAGACGATGGTTATGCTATGAAGTGATGGTATGAATGATGAAGAAGGGTGTAGTGAGGATGATTGTCTCCGTTACTTAACAGTGCGTATGGACTTTTGTACCTATGAAGTATGACTCTTCCACCTTCGACGACCGTGTATACAAGTCAGCGTTACAAAGTCATGTAGGACTCAAAGGTGTTCGTCACCGATGGATCTGAGTCTTCAAGAGTACCGACGCACTCTGGCCAATGCGGTACACAGTCATAGCCTGTTAGTCACCGCCTTTCATCTCAATGGCTAATAGATATATTGTGAGAGAATAATGCTGTTTCTGAGGTAGCGGCGGTTTTTATTTGTGTAATTGAGAGGTCAGAAGCGTCCCGGTGGAAAAATAGGAAAGAAGGTCATAAGAAGACACGGAGTGGCATTGGAGCAGGGAGCCATGTGCGACAGGAGGTCAGAGAGGTCAGCGAGTTACAGCCGCTGCAATTGTCTGAGAATACAAGTTCCTCCGTGAAGATGCGTTGGTATACACATCGTTCCTGACCGTCATGCGTCCTTGCTCTTGGGTTGACTCCTATATGACTTACACTCCCCAACTCACAGTCACAAGCTCGCGTCATTCAGCACCGACTCATCCAACTATCATGACAGTAACTTGAGTCAACTACAATATTTAAGGAGATAATGCCATTGTACTCAATGGGCCATAACAACCACATTCTCAACGCGAACAAAAGCCTTGTTCAAAACACTACACCGAATACAAACCGATATCGAAACCTTACCTCAAATCACCCAAGATGGCATCTGAGGGGGAAATTGTTGCTCCTGAAGGGACCGAGTCTAAAAACTGGTTGTTCAAAGAGCTATATCCGAAGCGGATGGGCGACGCATGTAGCCTGTCGCCCAAAGCTCGCGCAGCCATCGCCATTATCAAGAGTACTTGAGACCCGAAGCACTTTCTCAATCCAAATCCTGAAGCGACTAACACGTTCGTGGGTAGATACTATCGCGACCATGGACCCACTTGGAGACCATCTCGACGGAGTTCTTGGAGTGGCCGTAGGTGCCGACGATAAGTTGGTTTGGCAGGCTTCGCAAGGAGGACACGGTCTAGACGAGGTAGTCACGTGCTCGGGAGAAACGGATTTTGAGGCTTTGGAAGAACTTGTGCTTGAGTTACAGGCGAGAAAGGGCCGTTCAAAGGGAGCAGCCCAGAAGGGTTGATTGCCGCGGCATCAGACTGGTTCGGAACTGGTATTTGATATGCCAAAGCTCATGCATCAGAGCTACACCTGTTTTTCATTACCTGATACTCATTAAGTCATTTTACCGGTAAAACGTACTACATATCCTGGTTTCACGTCCCTTTAAGCATGTGAAGTCTTTAATCGATCTAGCAAATTCATTCATGAAGAGATCTGAACAGGAGATGACGATTGTTGGAATATGAGATGCATTCGAATTCTCAAAAAGTGGTATCAATTCTTGTGTTCGGTCCAAGGAAATTGCAAGGTAAGGCGCACGAGGGCGTATGAAGAAACACGATCTACGCAAGCCAAGTGCCACGCACGATATCCTATAATGTCAGGTAAACAAGAGTGAAGAAGAAGAAAAAGTACTCCGACATGCCAGGCTCCAGCGTCCAGACATCGAGCTAAGAAGAGTGTGGGAAATTCGAAGGAAAGAAAGAACTGCTTCCTCCACAACCGCAAAAAACATTATCGTACAAGCGCCATCGAGAAGCGTGAAAGGGGTATGGTATGTATAGCGTTTCCATGTTGTGTGCCATTAGTATCCGTACTGTCGTCTAGCCGTAGAAGCGCGAGGCCTACGCCCACCAGAGCCAGGACCGATGTCAATGCTCTGCAGCTCCAAGCTGAGTGCCATGTCCTCGTTCTGTGTGCCGTAGCCGCCACCGTTCATGTCCATGGGTACCTTGGCGGGGATGGGCGGTGCCGCGACACTATGCCTCTGGGTACCACGTCGGTCGTAGCTGGGGCTGCTGCCGTAGCTGTTGGGGTTGTCGCGTTCGCGGAGGACCTGTCGGTCGGGCAGTTGGTACTGCGGTGGTGTGTCGTAGGCGGATACGGGGCGTTGGTCGCGCCTTGTGGGCCTGCTGCGTGCTGTTGGATTGGGAGGTGCGTTGTGCTGGTTCTGGCTTGCGAGGACCAGCGCACCTGCGTTCACAGGCTGGTTGTAGTCGTTATTGAAATCATGTCTCGTCGTGACTAGGGCGTTGCTGTTGTCGAAGTTCATGCTAGCTGCATGGCGAATGCGCTCTCTGTCGGCGCGCTCTCGTTGGTATCGTTCCTCGCGTTGCATCGCGGCCTCGAGATCTCTGCTGCCGTTGAGCTGAGCCCTTGTTCGAGGAGCCTTCTCTTTCACGGTGCCCTTTGGTACTGGCTCAGGCGCCCAGTTGTCGACAGGTAAATGGTCGGACGCATCGACAACTCGTCCACTGAATGTGACAATCTGGCCCTTGTCGTTGTACTCCATTCGGCTTCCTGGTCGCTCGAGCTCGTCGTCTGAAGGTATGGGAGACTTGCTTATCCGAGGGTTGTAGACATCGAAGCTGTCGGGGTTGAAGGCGACTCCAGATAGTCGGCGCTCACCCATATCTTCTCTTGAAGGCGGTGGGCGAGGTGAGACTGATTTACGTGTCGGCATACTTCTCGCAGGCAACCTAGATGAGCGATCGGTAGCCGGATTAGGCGAGTGTCGTTCCATCTCAGTGTTGGGAGAGTAGCGATCCATGATTGGATTGGGCGAGTAACGGTCCATTAGTGGGTTGGGAGAGTAGCGTGAGCTCACGTTAGGGCTCGTAGCACGCGGCTTGATGATCGGGCCGGCATCGTAAACTGGGGGAGACATCTGTCGAGGCTGCTCAGGCGGGTCATGAGGATAATAGTCGTTCGTTTGGTACGCAGAATGATGAACCAGTTCCTGCGACTGCACAGGGTCTTCGTACTGAGTGATGGCCCGATACTCTGCAGGCTCAGAGTAGTGGCGCAGTCTCGGTGGTGTCTCATACGATGGGGGCGCTTCGTAAGGTGGGGCTTCAATCTCTTGTCTTTGTGGGTTCAGTCCAGCGATGAGTGCACTCGGTAATGCCGGTGCTTCCTGGCGTAGGGGTTCCTGTCGCAGTGGGGATGGTACCATGTTGTCGCGAGAAACTGGACGACTTGATGGCTGCGCTGGCATACGAGGATGAGTGTAGCGGCGCTCTGCAGGTTGTCGAGGCGCGTAGTTGTCGGGCTCGTATTGCTGGGGCGGCATATCATAGCTGAACTGACGGGGCTCCTCACGCGATCGCGCTGAGAAGCTCAGGGGCGCGGGGGCTTCTTCGCGGTAGCGCTCGCGCTCACGGCTCTCTTGGTTCGGGTGAGGTAACGTGCTGGCATTACGCTTGTGCATTGGCGGCGGTGGTGGCATATCGTCCTCGTCTTCGACCATGGGCTGCATGGCGCTACGTCTCCGATGCGTAGGGCTCTCATCTTGTAGGGGAGGAGCCTCGATGAACCGTTGGCCATAGTATTGGTCGAGTGGTGGAGCCTGTTCCTGGGCTTGCTCGCGGCTACGACTGCTACGCAAGGGTGCAACCTGATAAGTCGGATCCTGATACTGGTCTTGTGCGTATGGCTGAGCTGGCTGCGGCGGGGGCTCAATTCGTTGAGGCTCAAACTGCTGATGCTGGAGTAGCTGTTGCTGCAGGTACTCGATCTGCTTCTGTTGCTCCTGCAGTTTTTGCGATTGCGCCGGGGATTCATAGGCGTGCTGCGTGGGGACAATTGGTGCCGAGTGAGAATGTACTGGCTCGGGGTGTTGCAGTGCCTGGCTCCTGGGGGATCGTCCGTCTTCCTGCGACATTCTCCTCTGGTCTGAGTGCCGAACATGTTGTGGGAGAGGGTCGATGGGCTTCACCTCGTACGGCTTGGGCGCAGCGTAGGACATGTCGAAGCTCTCTTCCCTTGGAAGGGGCATCCGCTGGGCTGATGAGCGCGGGTTCGGGGGTGTGCTGTAGGAGGTTTGCGGTACAGGGCGCTGAGGAGTGTTCTGGCTCGATGACGATGCGGGGTTCAGGGGGGACGCGTCTGGTATGGGCCTGCGGGAGGGCGTGTCGGCCGGGCTGCGCTGTGTTGGTGACGGCTCGGTTGCTGTTCTTTGGTGTCGCGGGGAGCCCAGTTCTCGCGGACCAGCCCTAACGCCCCGCAGTCCTCGGTGCTCTGGTGTGTGTACGGGTGATGGTGTCGAGCCTGTGGGGTCGCTGGGCAGTGGGCGCCGCTTGACGGGTGCCATCTCTCGCGCTCCATTCACAGCAGCCTGTCCTTCGGGCTTGGTCGACTCCCTCCTCTTCTGCAGAACCGGCTTCTCGCTCTTCTCGCGGGTGTCGTAGTAGGTGATCTCCATGCGGATCTCGCCAGCGTACTTGCCCTTGCAATTGAGGCCCAGCCACTCGTCGCTCTGTCCTCCACCGGGGGTGATGACGGAGTTGAGGTTCGCAAAGGCCTCGCCAATCAGCTCCGTCTTCTTGTCGTCATTGAAGACGGAGACCTTAAGGCGGTTGTAGTCGGGCGAGTCGTGGACGGTGAAGCGCAATTCCTGGTCCCTGCATATGTCAGTCGTGGGTGTTCGAAACTCGTCGAAGTCATACATACCATCGCGGTGTCTGGCCGCCGCGTTTGTCGGTCTTTGTCTTTTTTGCCTCCTTGCCTAACCGGGCAGCGCAGTACGGGTCCTGCTTGCCCATGGTCCTCTTGTTAGGCAGGTTGCGGGCGCGGTCCATGATGACAACCAGGGTGCCTATTACCGGCCCGTCGACCGTCATATCGGAAAAGATGCCCGCAGCGTGAGCGCCGCCGAAGCTGGGGACGTTCATGGCCTTGGTAGCCATGCTGAGGGAGTCGCCCGGATGCGGGACTCGGGGAGGGCAGGCGCGTCGAGCG